AGTCTTTGCATTAAAAATTCACCATTTTGAGACATTTAATATTTTATTTTAATCATCTACAAAAATTTAATTATTTATTAATATTTATTTTAAATTAGATGATCATAGTCATCATTTTTATTTATGCAACTCATCAAACTTTGATTTATTAGTTTGATGCAGATTCTAACTTAAGTGATGGTAATTTTTTATAATTAAAGTTTATATTTAAGGGTGGGAACATAATAATTGTGAATTAATACTTGTGAAGGGGTTCATTATTTTGGATCGTCTAATAATTTTAATATTAGCAGAATCTTTTTAAATCTAGAATCTCATTCTCATATTATGGTGGATGCAAAGCTTCTTAGGTAATTATATATTAATAACAGAAGTATTGATACCAGTATTTCACCTTATTTTGAGATAGATTCATCATAATCATCAGATTATGTATAAGAGAGTTCAATTTAAATTTGTGGTGATTTACTTAATATTTCTATAACTCGATAACATAATAGGAGAACTGTTTGGATATATTTTGATTTCGAAAAAGGAGGATTAATATCAATAAAATTAAGTATTATAAAATGTTAGTATGAATGTGCTGGCTGCATAGAAAATAATCATAAATTTTTTGTTTACAATAGAAATTGCATTAATATTCATTTAATCAGAAGTTGATGATAAATTCTGAGGGATGGACTTTTGTATCATCATATAATTATATTACTTTCTAATTCCTCATTGATGTATTAATAAGGATTTTTAAATAAAATATCAGTAAAATAATATTTGACTATTTATATGGTATATAAAGTTCTAATTCTAGATATAAATAATAAATTGATTTTTGTGAAAATAATGATTTGTTCTATAAATAGAAATATTAATAAAAAATCATTATGATCCTAAATTATTACTTTATATTAGAAGTTCATCATCTATAAATAATCGTAATTTAAGAGATTTTGAAATATATTACACTTAGCCAGATATTTTGTTTAATGATTTAAATGAAGGTTGCTTAGATTAAATTAATGATAACTGTCTGATATGCTAAGAAGTTTGGATCTAAGATGAACTTTTGGAAATTTGTCATCCAATTTGCGGTGATAAAATTATTCAAGGTTAGGAAGAATGTGATGATGGCAATCTAATGTCAAATGATTCTTGTCATTTATGTAAATATTCATGCATAGACTATTACTAAATCTGTTAATTTGGAATTTGTATACAATGTTAAAATGGATTTATTATTAATAAATATTTTAATTGTGATCCTTTATGTGGGGACAGTAATCTAGTTCCTTACTCGATTGAACAATGTGAACTGGCAGTTAATGGGGTATTTGATGGTTGTTAGGATTGCAGTTTTATATCCATAGGACATTGTAAAATTAACTACTTTTCAATTTGCTTAGTGTGTGAAGCAGGATATTAAATGTTAGAAAACATATGTTTCCCTAATTGTGGAGATAAATTCATCCTAGAATTATATGAAGATTGTGATGATGGTAATTTATAACTTTATGATGGATGTTTTGAATGTAGATTTCAATGCATTGAAGATTGTAACATATGTGATCGGGGATAATGCATTTTAAAATGTGAAAATGGATATGAGTTTGTTTATGATAGTTGTCTCTCCATTTGTGGTGATGGAATTGTCACAATAGAAGAGGATTGTGATGATGGTGATATGCAACCTTATGATGGTTGTTTTAATTGCAAGTATTAATGTCCAGGAAATTGTTCTGATTGCTATCAAGGTACTTGTTTAGAGTGCAATTATCAATACGACTTAGTAATTTCAAATCAATGTAAATAATAATTTTATTGTGGAGATGGATTCCTTTAGGAATAAGAAGAATGTGATGATGGAAATTATTAAGTGTCTGATGGATGCAAAGATTGTTTAATTGAATTAAATTGGATATGCATTACAATGACGAAAGATTCCCCTAGCTAATGTACATTTCTCAAAGCTCCAAATCTGATAATTAATTATCTAAATATGACTGAAAATAAATAGTACATAGGCATTTAATTTAATTAAAAAATAAAAATACAAACAGTCTAACCCTTGTCGAAAACAATAACTTTTTAATTGTCAAATATAGAAAAAAGAACTGGAACAGCAGCTTGTTTGTATTATAGGATGTTAGATCAGATGTGAGTTTTGGCGAATTTATTGTCTAAATAGAAGTATATTAACTACTTGAATTTAGACCAGTTTTGAATATTTAAATAAATCAGAGAGTAACTAATATAGATAATGCTGTTTTGTAAGAAGATGAAAAAGTAATAACATTACAATATCCAAAATTTCTTGATGAAAAACAGAAGGAGTATTCTTAAAATTTGAAAAGTCTTAATCAAAATATAATTTATAGTCTGTCTGGGATTACTGTCATAAGTCTTCTATTAGGTAGTGGAGATTTATTTGTTGAAGTTTTGGCAATTCTTTAATACTAGCAATACTTAAGATACATTAATTTATAATTTCCAGAAAATCTAGAGATCTATTTTTCTGTTAATGATATAATAACTGTCCAACAACTCTTGGATTTTATTTAATTTCCTCAATTTTTGCAATTTATTAATATTTAATCAAATTAAGAATATCCTCATGGAAAATTTAAGATATATAAATAAAGCTCAAGCTTGATTTTCAATCTCTAATGCCAAATATTCTAGTACTTAATATTTTTATTCCTTATTTTGATGGTACAATAGATTAAAAAAGGTTTGTACAATTGGATATTTTGCTCTAGGTATTTTTTATGTATGTAATCTTTATTATTATACATCAATCCAAAAATACTTTTAAAGTTTAGTTAATCCTTTTAGAACATTTGCAAGGATTTACTTACATTAGAAAAATTTATTTCATTTTCAGGATTAAAAAAAGCCTTACTTCTAAATGGTTGGGATATGATATTTAAAACACTATTGTATACACGAAATATTTAAACTAAAAATTACATCGATATTGTTCAAATATTCATTGTAAGCATCATACTAATCCTTTATTTTACCATTTTTCTTGATTGTTTGAGAGGTTAATAAAAATATTCAAACATGAATTACTCATAAAGTCTTATTAGAAATTTGTTTTTTTTATTATTCTTGATTTTTTTTTAAGAATCACAAATATTTTAATTAGAATTACTCCTTTTGACAAGCATACTTTAGATTAGATTCGTATCTAATTATCGCTGTGTTTTTAATAAACGAAATTATGTTGTTAAGATGATGGTTGAAATATCAGTATTTACTTTTACAGCAAATTATTAAATGTCTATAAATTTATTTCAAGCATATCTTGAGTTCATTCTTATACATTTAAGAGTGTAATGAATATTTTAATGAAGAGAAAAAGATTTTGTTGGGATGGATCCAAGCAATCATATTATCAAAAGGAATAATTCTAGAACTCATTTTGATTTGCTATAATTTATTGAAAAAATTGATATAAAATTGCCGAAAACAGCCAGAAATCGTGAATAATGCATTAGATCCATTAAAACCATGAATAGTGCATAAAATAATAAATTTTATTAATATTTTTTTTACTAATAATTAAGATATATCAAGAAAAATCTATTTTTTGAATAAAAAGTTAATTTCGATTGGTAACATTTTAAATAAAAATATTTGATTTCAATTATTTACAATTTTAAAATGATATAGATGATAAACTTATTTAATTCTATTAAAATAGCTAGATTAATTTAAATATGTTGTTATTATTTGTTGTAATTTAAATATATTCTCGTTTTTATATTTTAATGCGCCAACTGATAAATAAAACATTACATAAGTTTAATCTGCCCTTTCTGTTTTTTAAATAGGTAATTCATAAACTCTAAGAAAGAAAGGTGTTTGAAAATTTCCCTTCAGAACATCAAAGGAAATTAAATGTTAATTTCATTGTTAAAAATATCGATAGCATGCATATGGTTAATTAAAATTGTAATTATTCCACCTAAACTTTTATTCATTCATTTTTTTATTATAATACCATTACAAAATTGTAAAATTAAATTGAATTACTTTAATTATCAATAACAATATAAGTCTTTTTTTTGCCCTTCTTGTTGTGTTAATTTATTAATTAACAAATTTATTCCTATTTGTATTTATTAAGTATTAGTGGGTATTATTAAACTCGATTTAATTTAAATTTTTCTATAAATTTATTAAGATTTATTCTAAAATTCAAATATAATCATTAAAAAGTGTTTAAATCAAAGTTATTTATATATTACAAATAAAATATTATTCGTAATAAGAGTTCAAGCTAATAAATTTTATCAAATAAAAAAATATAAATGAGGATGCTTAAATTCAATGTTATAAAGGAATCGAACAAGACAAGGTTTTGGATTTCACAGGTCCATTTTATATCAACTAATTAATGTCCAAATTGCTTCAAAGCAATCTTGACGTGCTTAAAGAAAGTATTTCAAAATTAAAAGTAACATTTCTAAAATTTATCATAATATCAACTCTTCACTCAATTATTCTTAAAGATTCAAGTTAGGCAGAAGTTTATATGATTTAAAATTTATAAATACTCAAAGTGTTTTTGTCATTAAATCAACTTTAATGTATAAAATATTTTAATTCAGATTAGAACAAATTGAGATTCAATAATTTTTATAAAGATAATGTATTGCACTCTTCATTATCAAAATGCAATAACATTCATTTGCTTCGAAAATCACAAATGTTAATGTTAAAGGAAACCATGTGCTTAATGTCTATGTGAACATTGAGTGGAAATCAAAAAGGTAGTACCAATATAAACTTTTCATGAAATGGCTCTAGGGAAATTACAACAATCTAATCTCAATTAAACATATGAGTTAACCAAAAAGAGCGAGACTTTTAAATCTTTGCTATCTGAAACTGAGACTACAATGAAGAAAATATGTTAAGATTTTTTTCAATCAATCAAATAAATATATGAAATGATTGATAAGGAAAACAACTCATACATAAATCTTCTCCACTAAAATCCATTAGAATCCTCCTATACAGATTTAAAAAAATTATTCTCCATTGTAACAGGAACAAAATTAAATGACTATGATGATTAGAAAAATTCATATATGATTGAGTTGGAGCAGATCAAGAAAATATGGAACCAAGAAATTTTGGTTTTAATAGAAAAATCGAAAGAAGGAATGAAAAAGATTTAGTCATTAAAAATAAAGTAAGAGTTTAAAATTTCATTTTAGGATTGAATCAAATCAAGAGGAAGAAGAAGTTTATTAATTGAAAGAAGATATTTGTGAAATTTTAGACTATACTAGAGATATTGATATACCAATATTTGAAGGGATTATTGATGTATTGAGAAAGGAGAAAATTTCGGATATCCTTGCATTTCTTTCAAAGCCATTCAATTTTAAAGAATATGAATCATTTATTTTTAAGAAAGAAGAAATAAGTGATGTTAAGAAGAAAATTAAGAAGATCAATAATGTGATGAAAAATCTTAGTGATCATCTATTTAATAAAATGTACTATTCTTCAGATCTTTTTTTCAAGGCTAGATAAAATCTAATCAATAAAATAGCAGGAAATAAGAATATCATTGAATTTCTGAAATTTTTAGTTCAAATCACAACTATAGATGAAAAATTTATTTAATCCGGATCAAATGGATTAAATTTATTAGTGCAGATGAAGGTTGATCTTTCAAATAAAAGCTTTGAAGACATCAAGATCTAGAATACGAGTCTAATTGGAGCTAATTTTGTAAGATGTAATTTTAGTGGATCCGTATTCGAAAATGTAGATCTTAGTGGAGTTAATCTAAATGGAGCTCTACTGTTAAATTGTAAGTGGAAGAATATTAAAATTCACTAGTAGAACAAATAGGATGGTCATGCTGGTCCTGTCCAATCAATATGCTTTTAACCAGAT